TGACAAATCTGGCAGGGTCCTTTGACTGCGTCGCACAATTCTAACCGAGAAAACAATCAAAGCGAGAGCATACAGCAATTGGGTGAATTGAATAGATTGGCAATGGAAATTGATGAAGACCTTAAGTAGGAGTATGTATGTGGAATCGATCTGAAAATCCATTACTTTGGTAACTATTTACGGTCTGTGTGATGAGAATAAATGAGATCGTAGGCAATAGTGAAGTCATTGGCAGAACCTGTTGGAGTTTTAGAGTAAGTTCAAGTGAGTTTGCATATGCAGGAATGAATTGAAGAAACAGAAAAGTTCCATCCACATTTAACCACAAAAAAGCTTTTTGGATTTGAAAGTTTTTCAGAAAAAGACCTACACACGATGAGAGCATTCTGCTTTCGCCTTAGCTTCAAGCGTATCAAACTAAGGTGGCTCTTGGTTGTCAATTGTTTATTATCCGTATTATCTGTATCTTTTCACATTTATTATTTCTTCGGACGCGATCACATGAATAATGCTGACTCATACAACGGCAAATTGGAAATGTGTTTAGTTGGTAATGCACAAACCAAAAAGCACGCACAAAATATGCATCGGATGTGGGAAAACAAATTTGTCTCTTTTTGGTTCATATGGAATGAAAGTATTACGGAACCAATAACGCTTCAAAATAACATTAATTTTGTCTACTCAGATGATAATTTATCCTGGACCAAAGGTATCGAGTTATTAATTAATCATTTAGTTAAGATCAACATGCCTTGTGAATACATTTTTACTCATGATGACGATTTGATATTTCGTATCAAGCAACAATTTCATGTTCCCAAAGTCTCTCTTCCAAACTTGTTAATAAACATATTAAAAACGTATCGACCTGCAATAGCCAGTTTTCCATGGAGTACTGGTGATAAAAGTATTTTAGCTATGAGAGAATTAGCGTTAGTCTATGAAAATGAGACTATTGCACCGTTAACAGGATTCGACAATGGAATGGTTATTTATCATAAGTCAATTGCAAACTTTTTTATACCGTTTTCACCTCGAGGTGAAGGTGGTTTCAAAGGTGATTGGACATTGTGTGCACATTTTCTACAAATGTTTGCACATTTATTATTTGAAAAATATGCTATACGTTTAAATATGTTTGAATATAATAATTCTATCAATATGGATAATTCATTACCTGAGAATCATTTTAAACAACGTATCCTAATTAAAAATGGGCTCGCTTATGTTCGTAAGTCTCGTCACCCATATGAGTATCCACAGAACGAAGCATACAAAGCGTTTCTTTCAGATGGATTAAAATTTCCATATCAGTTATGGGGACCAACACTAAATACAGAATACCGTCTAGAGTCACCGAAAGCTACTGATCCTAAGCGAAAATCGTTTGATGGTTTATGGCTGCTGAAGCGATTGAATGAAGTCTACGATATACGTCACGAAGCCTTGTCAAATAACAAATTTCTTCAGGATCAGTTCACGAATCAGCAAAAGTTTAGGGTTTTACAAGAGACTAATTTCAGTCTCAAATTAATATTATTAACAATGAATCGGCCGCTGTCATTTCAACGATTGTGGAAATCCCTGGCAAAGGCTCTTCCAATTAATCGAACTATTGGCATATTTATTCATGTGGATATGCATAAGGACGACGATAGACGACGTAAATATCTTGAATATTTAAGCAGTTTAAGGACCTTACACGGAGACGTTCATGTTATTGCTTACTCAGTACGACGAGGACTGAAAACGATTATGATGGAAGCATGGCGTCCTCTTAGCAATGATGAATATGCCGTCTTTCTTGAAGACGACATTGAGGTTTCACCTTACTTTTTACTATACATTGAAAAACTGGTAAAAGCTTATTTTTATAACTTGAAATTAGACAGACGCTTGTTCGGGATATCGCTCTACAATCAGCGTTACAATGAGGTAGTTGAAAAGTACGTAAATGTGCCAAACGGCTACCAGCTGTATGCTTATCAAATGCCACAGAGCTGGGGAGCTCTCTACGCACCTAGAATGTGGCGACACTTCCTGGAATTTTTCAGCAATAAATTTGACCCATTAATCCCAAATTCTTACACGAATCGGTGGCCACAAGAGACAAGTTGGAAAAAATATCTGCTAAGATTTATGTATCAAGAACAAGGCTGTTTAATCTATCCAAACTTCCAACATAATTTTTCTTTAAGCACAAATTATCTTGAATACGGTCTGAATAACAAACTGTCAAAAAGTGCAGATAGAGCACAACAACAATTGAAATTTAGTGTTCCTTTATTGTATAACAAAGAAATATTTGAACAGTTAGAAACGCCTGTATTAGACAATCTACAAGTTTATAGTGCTTACCATAAAAAGGTCAATTCTTTAAACGACTTGAAAATTTCTGTGACTAAGTTAACTGCATTTGATACATGCACTCTGATTTTAACAGTGTATGACAGAACGAATACAACTTTGGACCGACTAATCTACTACCAAAACTTCACTTATTTATCAGCGATTGTTGTGATTTGGAACAACGTTAATGTTCAGCCTATACCAAAGAAACAACTGAAAAAATTCAGAATTCCTGTGCACATTTTAAAAATGAAAAAAAATTCATTAAATAATCGATTTTATCCTCACAAAGAAATTCAGACAGATTGCCTTATCAGCATGGACGATGACTGGGATTTACCGTATTCGTATATAGCATTTGCTGTCGACACTTGGCGAGGACATTTCTTCAACAATCTTGTTGGTTATTCTTATATAGGACGTAACCATGTACCAACCTACATTAATGGCACTCTTCAATATCTTTATAGCACTAAAACTTTACTATCGAAAAAAGGTCCATTTTTCAGCATGGTGCTTATGGCGGGGCTCGTATTTCATCGTCAATATCTTTATCAATACACATATAAGTTACCACAAATTGCACGAGATTTGGTAGAATCTCTAATAAATTGCGAGGATATACTATTTAATTTTTTACTTGCTAATACTACTAAGCAAGGGCCAGTTGTGATAGATGCATGGGCCAAACCGTATGATTTTGGTGGTTTATGGAAACGACGAACTCATGCAGCATCACGATCACTATGTATAAACAAATTCGTTGAAATTTTTGGTGGAATGCCATTAAAATATACGACGAGTATATTCAAAATTAATAGAAACCAAACAGTACCAGGAAAGAATAAACATTTCTTCCAAGAACAATTCCCGATAAAATAACCCATCTTAAAACTGAATCCAACCGATGTTATACATGCACCTTTCTGCTCATGGAGAACATCAAAACGTGATCCTACATCCGTGAAAAAAAATACAATGAATTTACATAAACGCTAAGTCAACCTGCTTGCATGCTCGGCTATCAATGCAGTTTAGGCTAGCGGGAAACATCGTACTTTTGTACTTTCGCACTTTAAGAGAGGGTCCATGAGACTGCCGACCAAACCTGCATCTGAAAAAGTTTTATTTTTCAAATGAGTTAGGCCATTCGAAAGAGCGTGCAAAGTTATTCTCAAAACCAAATTTTTAGCTTCTTCTGATAATCCTATCAAGAGATATGAAGGAATCTTTGAACCCACCCTCAGGTCCTTTTTTGAAAATTTCAATCCAATTATAGAGAATTCCGTTTAACACTCTATTTTTTTATATGTTTCATAACAAATT